GTGGCGCAGGAGGCTTAGGGCCCAGGGCTGGGGTGGAAATGTGTGCTCAAAGGGCCCAGGGTTCCCTGCCCTGCTGCCTGCCTGCTGGGACCTCTTTGGCCCAGCAGGCAGGACCCAGTGCGGCAGGGCAGAGCGGGGCAGGAAAGCTTGATACTGCCACTGGGAACCCTTCACTGCCATGGTGAGGCACTCCCTGCCTGCCCAGCAGCAGCAGGAGTGGCGCTGCAGAGGAGCTGTACCCCGCACTGCTGCCAAGTGGGCAGGGGGTGCCTCACCATGGCGGCACAGGGCTCCTGGACACAGGACTGAGCCTCACTGCCCCACTGCTCTCCTGCATTGGGTCCCGCCCCAGGAAGCAGGGTAGGGGGCCCCAAGCCTGCAGCAGGCAGCTGACATCTGTCACTGCCCCCCCCCTCCGCTCACCATGGGCTCTGCCAAAGCCCTGCCACCTGTCTGTGTGGGGAAGGTCAGGCTCAGCACTCTGGGCCACAGGAACTGCCACCTCCCACAGGTGGCAGCTGGGGCTCGGGTGCTTGGGGGGGGGGGTGCGGCAGGAGGCTGTAGACCTGGGTCCCTGGCCCCACAGCCCTGGTAGCTGAGGGACCCCTCTGGTAGGGCTGGGGGAGCAGGGGGCTGTGGGGTCAGGAGGGAAGGGCCAGGGCTGGGTGAAGAAGGAGTGAGGGGCACTGGCATGGGCAGGGCACCAGCATATCAGGGTTGCTCAGTAGCAGAAAACACACAGCTAGACCCAGATCCTAGTGAGCAAAGGGGGCAGGGGGAGCTCTGATTTTACATGATTAGAAACACAAAATCAAATACCAAAATTTATAGGTATTTAGAATGTATTTTATTATAGTGATTGAGGCACTGGTAGACTTCCAAACTCCTTTAAAATTGTAAATATAATCAAAGAACATTGTGTTCAACTGGTACATACACATACACAGTGGCCTTTCATTTTAAGTGCAGGAAAATGCAGGGGGGTAGTTATCAGAGAACTTGTGATTTTTAAGCAGAGAAAAACAGTATCCCTGATCATTACTGATTCTACTTTGTTAGGACATGCACAGGAAACCAGTTTGGAAGAGTATTTCCAGCAGCACAGTGCCCTCTATCATCATCTTGAAAATTCGATTCAATACAGCTTCAGGAAGGAAAAGTACCATATGTAGAACCACCAATGCCACTTTCTCCCTGTAATACCTAGATGTTAAGTGAACTGGTCTTCCATCTAAAAACAGCCCCACCTAACTCAACCCTTCTTAGCCAGGGAGATCTAACAGAATCAGACTATGCTGTGGCATGATTGCAATCCAAAACCACTTAAATACTTTAACTGAAACACCAGATACTTACAGAAGTCACTTGGTGGATTGTGTGTAAGGTTCCTGTAGAACTCAGTTCTGTGAGCTTTCTTTAAACCTGTGCATAGTCCAAAATCAGACAGTTTTACATGACCCTACAGAAATTGAAGATAAACGTATTATTGAGAAGGCTTAAAGAGCACAATATATTTTAATAACTTACTCACTTAGGAAATGTGTAAAACAAAGTTTTGTAGGATTACCTTATCCAACATTAGAGGACAACATAGGGACCGACGACTCTTTACATATCAAGAAATTATTAAAATGATTCTGCTCTGAAATAATAGCTTGTAAGGAAAAAACTGCTTAATTATTCCAAAGAGTTTGGGACTCATTTATGTTTTTAAGACTGTGGGGGAAAGAATGAGATTGGGAACAGAAAAGCATAATACAGTAAAAGCAGTATTATCTGGCACTTCATTAACTGGCATGCTCTATTAACCGGCACACCGACTGATGCGGCAAAAGCGAAACCAGAAGTGGGACTTACAGTTTCACTGAGTCCCACTTCAGGCCACGGCCCAAGGCAGAGCAGCCTGTGTGGGGACCCCCTCCCTGTCCCCCAGCCAGGGGAGGGACAGCGTGGTGCCTGTCCCACGGCACACTAATGCACCGGACACAGTGGGAGGGGCATCTTTGCCTGACCAGGCAAAGGCACCTCTCAGGTAACCAGCATATTTGGTTATCTGAGAGCTCCCATGAGAGCTTTTGCTGTACTGTTTTATTTAGGACATCTCAACTAGAGCAAAGTCACTCTATGTTACTATCACAAACATGTTACATACCTTGGCATCCAGCAAAAGGTTATCTGGTTTAATATCCCTATGGATGAAGCCGAGCTGATGAATGGCATCTATGGCCAGTACTGTCTCAGAAATGTAAAACTGTGTCTCCTCCTCTGACAAAGTGTCTTTCTTCATCAGTAAGGTCATCATATCACCTATATCAAAGAAAATAAATGCATTTTATTAATCAAATAATGCTACTGGAAAAGTTAGTAGAGTGCATTTTAATCTTACAACTGTGCTCTATGGTCTTCTATAATCAGACCATTATTGCTTGCTTCAAAACCTGTTTGGCAAACTGGTCCCAGAAAGAATTAACTGAAAATTATGAATTTGGCATTTCAATTAGGTACTCACTGAGGTAAACTAGGTTTAATTATCTCCCAACATGTAGTGCGTGATAGTTTGTTTCCAGTAATAGTCACATTTACTGATACTAACATCAGCAGAGGAAAATAGAACAGACTTCAATTATACTTATGGATGATTTAAAATTTCAGAAATGCAGAAATGGTTACTACACTGGCACTACTACATAAAAATAATAAGAGCTAGCAAAAAAATCATACTTTTTCTTTTTTTAAGCACCTAAGAGCAAAAGGGAAACGTGAAAATTTGCATCACAAATTACAGAACTCAGAGCTTACCTCCAGGTAGGAACTCCATGATAAGATAAAGATTCCTTTTGTCTTGAAAGCTGTAAAACATCTTCACCACCCAGGCACCATCCGCTTCAACCAATATATCTCTTTCTGCTCGGATATGGGCCACCTGTGCAGTTAAGAAATAGTATTGTTAATATAAATATGAACCAACTTTTTTAACATTGAACTGTTTCTACTGTTCTTCACTTTTTCATTACATCTGCTGAAGAAACTATTTTTCATACAAAGGGTAGATACTGCAAAGACTACATATTAATTTGGTAGCACAAAATCCCACTGACATCAACTGAATGCTGTACTAAAATAATACAGTCCTTATTGCCTGGAGGCAACCTCCTGACTTAAGATGCCACCAAGATATCCCCAAATGTGGGATTCCATAAGTGAAGGGTGATTTTGTTTAACACACAATATTTGGCAATCGAACAAAACATGCGTAGAAACAGAATACCTCTAGGATTGTTTTAGTGAAATGAAACAAACAGGCTCAGATTTACTCTAAAAAAGACATTTTTAGAAATGTTAATGTACAAGACCTTGCGTCAAGATCAGCTTTGCAATATTACTATACTGATTATGAAATCATAGTTGCTCTCACAAATAGATGGAATTTAACTGTAAAAGTCACTGAGAAAGCCTGATACAAGCATATAATACAATACAGGATCTGGTCTTTAAGGGTACAGAAATTGAGACCTGAAAAAAATTCGAAGAATTGTTGACTAGTTATGAGATTTCTTATTTATGTACTCAAAAAAAGCTGATAAGCATTCATATATTGGTTTTAACTCACAGTCAAAGCTAAATAAGATAAGCACCTTGAATCATCTCTAATAAGAGCGACTTGGCTGCTATTTTTACAACATTTGGAAAAAGATGTGAAGGTAATACTAAGTGGCAGTTTTTATTTCATGGCCTCTTTGCTTGACAGAAAATTAGTTCCATTACCAATGCAGGAAACAGATAAGTGACTGAACTGGTGGAATATCATTCAGTTCATGGTATTCAAATTCAGTGTCCTGATGGAACATCTTTAGAGAGTATTTGTAAAATATTAGTGAACAGCCTGCAAAATGAACTAAAGAATATGACAAGGTGTTGGGTTTTCAGTCTTAAAGCACTGTAAAATTAGTGTGTCCAGAAAAGGACCTCAATAAACTATTCTGAATTTGTACCACTGTCAGTTGGGAAAACTGTGATGCTCTAAAGCAGGGGTGTGCAAAAGATAGCCCACAAGCCAGATCCAGCACACCAGCTGACTGGATCTGGCCCACAGGCAGGCACCCACTAATTAATTTTAACTGGCCCTGCCAGTGGCTGTCCCTGCTGTGCTCTGCATGGGGCCAAGCCTTGACTGCTCTCGCCTGGGGCAGTACGTGCTGTGCTCCCAGCTTCCTCTGTTGGAGGGCACCAACCCAGCCGGCACAGCTTCCAGGCAGAGCTGTTGCTATCACTGCCCAGGGAACTTTTGGGCTCCCCCCGTCTCCAGGGACACCTTTTCCTGTCCCTGCTGAAGTGCTCTGGGTAGCAGGTAGGGAGGGGAAGCTGAAGCGTTGAAGGGAGCAGTGTGCGCTCTGCCTGCAGCTCACTTTGGTTATGCTCACGCATGGCTAGGCAGGTGAGCATGTGAATGGAAGGGGGTGGGGATGACAGAACTTGGCTGCTCATAAAGCCCCACCGGACAGGCACGGGACAGACGGGTGGGGTGTCAGCAGGAGCCAGTGTGTAGTTGGTGCAGCTCTGCTGGACAGGCACATAGCAGGAAGCAGCAGCAGCAGTGGCCGGAGCCAGCACAGGCTCAGCTGCAGCCCCACTGGGCAGGTGTGGGATACAGACCAAGAGAGCCAGTGGTGCCAGGCTCAGCTCCCTGTCCCCACTTCCACTCTCCTAGGGGCTTCTCTTGCTGCCCAGTGGTGGCAGCTGCTTAACCCGCCTTTTGCAGCACGCTCTGAGCCAGGCAGGCAGCACTGATCCCCCTCCCCACTGCCTGCAGAGGGGCTGGGTTCAGTCACGTCACAAAGAGCAGTTGAGGGGGGAGAAGCCCACCATACATGCACTCCCAACCCAACCCCACCATACCCACACACCCAACACTGTCCCACACCCCAATCACACACCCCACCATATCCACACAAACTCGCACCCTGCCACATCTCACTATACATCCCACCCCCCACCATACCCCCCCACACACACACACACACACACACGCCCATGCGTGCAAGTCCCACACCCCACACACATGCACACCCCTTATCAGCACCATACCCACACCGCACACACACACCCCAAGCACACTCCCCCTCTTACCTTTCCGCACACAGTATACAAGCAAGCCTCACACCCCCTCCCAAAAGTACTTCCTGGACAGGGAAGAATCTCCCGGTGGCAAAGGTCAGGGGTTAAGGGGCAGGACTTCCAGTCACAAGATGGCAACCAGGGAGTGTGGCTCCTGTCCAGGGGTGTGACTACCCTTGTGGCCCTTGACACCTCATCAAAACTCATTCAGCCGCCCTCTAGCCAAAACAATTGTCCACCCCTACTGTAAAGGAAGAGCAGTATTATATTGAAGCTCAGGATGTCTATGGAGTAAAATGAAGGGGCAGTTATATCATGGGCAGACACCCTATGCTACTTTGAATTTAGCTAGCACAGGTAACAAGTGAAGATGGGGTAGCATGGGCTTCAAAGGCCACAGAAGTCCTCTAAGCCTCCCTGGTTACCACCCCATGTTCAAATCAGTGCTACCGCATCTGGAATAAAGACCCACTGAAAAGCTCTGAAATAATTCAGCAGAGTTTGCAAGAACTTAGAGAGACGGCTGTGTCCCCCACTGGCCCCTCAGCAATCCCTCATTCTTGGAGAAACTGAAGCACTAATTATTTGAAGCACTAATTATTATGTCCTGACAGCTTAACGTTTCTTATGCAAACACTAGAAATTCTCTTTACAAGATTACTTTCCTCCTCTGGGGGCAGCACACCATGTGGACTATACACTGCAGGGATGGGTCCTCAGGATCTCCTCCCATCGTATGAGCAGCACCAGGAGCACAGACTGCCTCCCAGAATTCCTTCCTCCCTCTCATAAGTAGTGAACAGCTCCTCACTGAGCAGGCTGCATAGCTGTTGGGCAGACCCCATATCCCTCTGTTATACAGGCAATGGGCCACACTTCCCCCTCCCCACAGGCTTCCTCCACTGCATGGCAGCAGAAGAGGCAGCTGCAGGGACCACCAGGTGAACAACTCTATTCCAGACTTTATTGTTTTATTATTCTTTAAGATTCCTAGCTTCTACTGTAGCAGTCTTGCACCATAGCAATTTTGTGCCAGCCTGTACAAATACACAGCAACGGAGTGAACACAAACAAAACCTCAACTCCTTTCCTATCTATATAGAATATTTTCAAACTATAAGTATAAACACAAATAAATATAAACAAAGCACAAACCTGCTCTTTTTCAAGCATATCAGCTTTTCTAAGTATCTTCATTGCATAAATATGGCCCGTGTCTTTCTTCTGGACAAGGCGTACCTGAAATAAAGAAAAATGCATAACATCTAACCCATTTACTGGGTGTTACCATCCACTGCATATTCAAGAGCTTATGAAGTTAACTAGCTTTAAAAAAAGCATTAGGAAAACATAGAAAAAAAATGGAGAAAAGTGAAATATTCAATACTATGCATTTTTACATCATATTAGAAGTTGTGTTTCTAACTTTCAGCAACCAATAAGTGTTAGGTAGGATGTTCAATATTCTGATAAGTTAACAGCCAAACCAAATGCCAGATATTCAGTAAATAAAACTATGCTCATTTTGGAAAGCAATCATTGATCACATACCTACATTTGTAAATTTATCAAAATAGTTATATCATAGTTACTCTGGAATAAACACACCATATGGACCCTCCTTATAATGCCCTTTTCCAATTCAGTTTAATCTACTTCCAAGCAAAGAAAACACAAACCTCCCCAAATGCTCCCCTTCCTATAACTTTCAGAGATTCAAAGTCATCCAAACCAAGCCTAGTCCTCTTTAGTCGCAGGAATTCTGTTTCCTTGCGAGCATGCTGGGACCTGCGTAGTTTTTTCTGTGAAAACACATTGTTAAAAAATTAAGTGTACAACTTTCATTGTAATGTACATAGTTTAAAATGTTTGGAATACCTAAATACAGCTGTAGACAACAACTGACCCTATATCTCTGATTAATGGCCTATCTAGAACAGTGCTTCTCAACCTTAAGTCGCAAGTACCCCCTAACTTCTGAAAATGTTAATAAGTACCCCAACACTCAATTTTCCAGGGGATTTTATATTTACAGACTAATGTGTGCCATATGTTGGAAGAAAGGCTATGTATATAAGGCCATGATATGACAGATGTCTGATCTGGTGTGGATAGGGTTACCACCTTTTATACCAGGGGTGCACAACTCAAGTATGTACCTGGGCTAGAGATGATGTAGGCCAAAGCTAGGGGGGCTGAACCCAGTGTCGCGCAAAGCATGGCACACCAAATTATTACAGGGAAATTTAAAATTTTTTGCCATGGTTTTGAGAGGAAGAGAGGGTGAGAGAGAGAAGAAAAGAGGGTGAGAGAGAGAGAGAGAGAGAGAAGAAAAGAGGGCAAGAAAGAGTG